ATATAGTCTTCTGAGCACAGAAATATTTATAGTGATCTAATAAGTCATGAGTATAAAGGGAATATATAACGATGATCACTTATTGCCTCCACTGAACCGCGCCATTATACCACTGAAAATTATAATAAATGTATCTGATGCTCTGTATTAAACACATCTATCTATTAACCTTAATGCATGAACTCTTGACGCACGCGTCAAAAAAAGCGATTCGAGTTGATTCTATGGAATATTTACAAAACACTTTTTCGGAAAACTTCACTTGACATAACCACGTTCACGAATTTATTATTCGATGCTTCAGTGCATAATTCTATGCCAAACGACACAGGAACCTCCATACATCCAAGGAAGCGACATCACACTTACTGCGTGTATTCTTAACCTTCTCAACCATAAAGCAATTGTTGCTTGCCCACGTTGGTGGCATGTAATTACAATGACGTAAAACTATTGAAGCATGTCACGAGGTATAATGGTGATGTCAATATGTTTTAACATAGCGCGCTGTCGAATCAGAAGTCACACACAATTTGCATCGAAAACAATTAATCTGGCAACTATGCCAACCCCACAAACGTTTCGCGTCGGACATTAAAGAGCTTGGTATGGTAATATTTATGCGAAGATGAAGCTTTACAAAATATCCATCATCCCAGCCTTAGCGCACATCCTTCGCGATTGCAATTCAGTTAGTCCGCATTATTCAACTATGCTTAATATAAAATAACTCTGGATTGTACTCTGCCATGTGCTGTTGTATGCCTACAGTCATGAAACGTGATACTCAAGTAAAGAGTTTTCATCATCTGTTCCTGCGATCAGTTCTGGATTCATTGTCTAGATATGTTTATCTTCAAGGCATATGCTGAAGACGCAATTTTTGTGCAACTTCGTTAAAGCAGTAAACTTTATTATACTTTCATTCATTGCAAATGATTCTAGAAAAGTCATGACAAAAACCAAAATATACCCAAATTCAGGGTCACAATGAAGAACTGAGAAAATCATTCTTTTGGATTGGAGATCTTTCTTTAAACCTGTTTGTGAAGTATATCTGCGATAATATCATTGTTCATTCAGTGAGCAACATGTATTCTGATTATTACTGTAAAAGTGCCATTTACTAGCATTTCCGGGAAGGTAGTACAAAAATCTATTATATTGATTTCGCGATGCTCTTAAAATAATTGCGCATATGACATTAATATGCCAAAAGGTAAGATACGCAAAACAAAGTACGTAATTTAATAACTGTTAAAATAAAAACTACCGCATTTACCTATCTCATTCACTTTCATGATGTTAATTAGGCAGCAACCGCGACTTTGCTGGTCCCAACTATGGATGAGAAAGGAAAAACTTGAAGATTGTGGTTAGGTTTCAGTAAAACGTAACAACCTGCCCTCGTGATATTTCCGTCATCGAAAATTATGTCTGCTTGGTCGTTGCCCGGATTATTAACTGTTAGGGGTTACTGAGGCAGGCTCTTAAAAATCGGTCATCACAGCCTGCTAATTGTTAGCCGGCAGCCGCGGTGTAGCAGCACCACAACGGCAGCTACGTATCGACAAAACGGCGATGAAAGTAATAATAAGTAATGGTGCCGCTACCCGCCCTGAACTGAGGAGGTACAGAGCATGATGCTATTACAGGTAAGGCCACACGGGCACGATGCTGGTAGTGTTGGCCTACAGTCAGAAATTGGAACATATCCTCACTCAGGAGGGAGCAGGAATTAGTTGATGAGGCAGCAAGGTAACAGCTCCACACAGTTAAATTCTCGTCAACGAAGCGCCAAGGCTCAGGAATTGCGAATCTCTGCGGACGGAAGCTATTCTACTCAGGTGTCGACATCGCGATGCGGGCTCAGTCCAATACTGGCATTTTGGTAGAACCCAATCTAGCTGAGTGAATTATTGAATGGAAGCTTGTCAGCGGAATAATGGCAATTATCAAACTGAGGCTAAAACAGGCAAAAGTTTTGACCTGGCCATAGATCTATGCGCCAAATTTTGAAGGAGAATATGAATCCTTCTGTTAAGAAGTTCATTGCGATTTGTACGAAGTATAGACTAGACAGTTCATCATTCTCACTGCTGATTTCTATGCGTACGTCGAAACAGACACTACAAGATGAAAACGGATGATTAGAAAGAATGCCCTAGCGATCTCAACAACAACTGATAAGGCAGTTGCGGTCCTGCGCTGGAAACGGACGGTCTGTTATGAGCACTTGTTTCAAGCATCGAAGCGTGCATCAGTAAACCAGGCACAGGTAAGCTTGTGACAGAAGCAAAAATCGGTTTGATAATCATATCGTCTGACCTGCGACGCTCTGTAATCGATGTTCGCAGCAGAAAGGCGCATATCTGTCAATTGATGATTACTTTTGTGGTTATAATATTACCCGTGAGAAATCGAGCCCCATGCGACTGTTTTGTAGCAGAAACAACCAAAAATTCTAATGGGAAACGTAACGTTCGGCAGATACGATAACGAATCATGCAAAGAGCACCGCGTGATGGTTTCGACATATTCAGGTAATGATGTAGAAACGAGTGGAGGCTCTTTAAGAGCAGCTTATTTACGGCAGCCGTCAAATGCTGCGGTTTCAAACGGGTTGGCATGGCGACTGAAGGCCAGAAACTAGCTGTTTTATTAACACGAGAGGTACAACTGGCTGTCATCGAGAAAAGGGCTGCGTTCAAGAGGCGTCCTCAAGGAAAGGGTTTGTAACTCTCATGTGGTACGAAGAAGTGTGCAAGGGGGTGACCAAAACAGTGGCGAAGCCAAATCAAATCCCGGGAAAAGTTTGGTGAAGCGCTGCAGTCGAATTTTCAGATGGCAAACAAAGTATTATCGTGGAGCATAGGTTGCCTCCGAGGGGAAAAAAGGAGCAGCCTAAGAATCCTGAATTTGGATATCTTCTTATAAAGGAAGAAGACATTCTTCGGGGGTGAAGAGAGTGCTCTGTGCAACTGTGCTTACCCCGCAACCGCAGCAAAACTCGCCGGAAGAGCTACAGGGAACGGATTAGTATCCCTGTAGATAATTACACAAGCTGTGGAAAGCTTGAAAAGGCGAAAGGATGCAGCAATCTATTATATGCGCGCTGATGTGCTTAAAATTTCAACAGGGCATGTGTTGGCTCACATGTGGCTGTCAAACTGCAAGACTTGTCTGCGGGGAAGACAACAACGGATTGTAGCATGAGGGTTGCCGTAATCCTGATGAAGAAAGGTGACTACAGTGAGTGTTCCAGTTACCGGGGTATCACCTTACTGATCCTCTCAGGAAGAATTTGTGCAAACGTGTTAGAAAAGATGTGCCGTGGAATAAGTGACTCAAAAATACTAGAAGTGCAGTGCGGCCCCTCGGCCCGGCAGAAACACATCTGATCAGATAATCCGCCTGACGTCAGACTGTTGGTTTGCCTGCTAACTTATGGGATCGATGAAAATTGTACGGTCAATTCAATTATTATATGCTGATAGAAGGTACAGCGTTAGAGTGAATGGCTTTAAGTCACCCACCCACCCACACACACGCACATCTAAGGCGTTTCAGGGTCGACAGCAGTCTCTGCCAAGGCTGCGTTCTCTCCCATCTTTCTTCTGTTTGTGTTGTGAGTTGACAGAATAGTCAGACAATGAGTGTATTAGCATGGGGATGTACAGACGAGAAAGTTGCTGTTTCCAGAAGACCCTGTTTTGGTGACATCTACAACTGATTTCTAGCTCTCTCTAGAAGGATTTTCAGTTGAGTGCGAAGAGGAGGACATGCATGCGAATGTATCTGAAACTAAAAGTAATGTGCTTTCTCGATCTTCATACAGTTGCTCTCTTCCGACAAATGGAGAAGCGATGAAACAGTGAAGAAGTTTAAGTACTCTGGAATCATGATTACTGGTACTGGATAATGGAATCAATAAATCGACAAAGGGATTGGAATAGGCAGTGGCATTCCGCATGAATTAGCTTGAATAGTTACTATACCGTCAAGTCTGAGGAATAAACTCTTTAAGTTTAAGTTTATCTTCATTCCCGTGATTTCAAACAGTCATGAGTCGCCACCAATGACTGATTAACGCCGATTTCGGATAGAAGCCTAGAAATGGGCTTACTGAGACAAATCGCCATCGTTCCACGTCTTGACAAGGTCCAGAGTACAGAAATCCGAGTGACC